AAAAGACTAGACCCAGCTTTCTAAAATCTCATCATATGTTGAAATTATTCCCCCCAACGACCTACTGTTTAAAAGTAAAACAATCAAAAGAGAAAGAATAAAAGAAAAAAAAAAACAACAACAGAAGAGAGTTTCCATAACACGAACACAAGACAGTTCTCATGTGCTATAGCCATCTAGCGCCCATTCTCAAGCTGCAGAAATCAGCTCTTTGTTTTCACAACCCTTTAAGAAAGAATCATGACGCTTTAAACAAGGCTTGGATACCTGGGGGGAAACAAGATAAGAATGAAGGTTCTTAACGGTAATCAAACAGAGATCACTGCCCAGTGTCTGTAACTCTGAAACTCAAGTCTCCTGTTTGTACAAATATGTCAGCAAGGCCTGTTATCAGCATCCCAACTCACACAAACACCAGAGCTGTTTTTAGTCCTCATTTCCCCTGCCCATGTGGTATCTACAGAAGCAGATGTCCAGCTACCATTCATATTAACATGTTTGACAGGGAGGTATTTAGCAGGGTGACCTTCTGAAAAACACTGAAACAGGCACTAAATTAAAAAAAAAAAAAAAAAAAAAACAGGAAACAAGCAAAAAGGGAGTTTGGAGGAAGAGCAATGGCCTAGGTTAAGCTTGGCGAGACATGCAGCATAGTCTTCATGACACACAGCCGCTGCCTGTATGCTCACCACTTAGCAGGACCTCAACCTCTCTCCTCACTCTGCCAGGCACCTCACCCAGGCTGCCTTGCTCTCACCCTGACTCTCATTTCTCAGGTCCTATCAGCTCTGGAAGCTTCACATCCTCACCTCTTCCCATCCTGCTTTATTTCCCATCATCCTCCACCTCCCATTACCCCATCCCTGGAGCACCCTGGACTGAACCCTCTCAACCCCTAATTAATGAAGGTGGTTGCTGAAGGACTTTCCTTCTCCTTCACTCCTCAATCTCTCCCTTCACAACTCCCCTCTGATTCTACCTCAACAGAAACCATTTCATAGTTTCTTCAGATTTTCCCCAAAACTCAAAGACCATAAAACTCTGCAGTTACAACACTGACATTTAAAGACCAAAGAACTTAGACCCAACCAACTTTTGCACTGTCTCTCCTGCTCTTCCTTAATACAAGTCTCTCAGGACCTGGTTTTCAACAAGCCCAGGATCTCCCTTCCCACCACCACCTCATAGCTAAAATCCTGAATTGTTCTCTCCTTTGCTCCCACCATCTACCGAAAGCCCTGGCCTCTGTAGGGAAATCTTTGGAGCATTTCTGCCTAATCCCACTCTTGCTTTAGCCTCAGCTGAATGCCCACATGGGCTTCTGAAAGCCCTGTGACCTTCTTCTTGAATTCCTCCAGCACACAGTGTGAACTATTCATTTGATACTTGATATGCATTTCCTTTGATTATCGGAGTTTTTAATTTTCACACCTATGTATCTTGTCTCTTTAACCAGATTTTAAACTCCATATCTCATATTTTATGAATGAACCAATGAATACCTTTCCATCGTTTTCAAGAAAAAGGCAACTGTACCAATAGATTGATCTAGAATACCAAGACTGCAGCAAATGAATTTACACATAGGTTCTTTCCTACTGTGTCTTCTGTCTTCTGTTTCTGTTTTCCGACATGTTGGAGGGGCATCTGCCTATTTCAACTTTCCTTTCTAAAACTGCCCCTTTAACAGATTGTTATGTGAGCTCTGCCTGAAGGAGCTATCCATTTCTTTCAACAAAAAGAGTGTTCTGTGTATTTACGAAAGGCAGGACCCAGTCGGAGCTGGAAGAGGCTGAAGCTAGGCAGACTCAGAATAGGTTGCCATGGGTAGCATCTGCAAATAGTCCTAAGCCTGAGTCTTAGGAAGGGTTGTTATTGTTGTGATGACACACCAAGATGTGAAAAGCTTGGGAGGACAGGGTTTCCTCAGCTTACATCTCCACAGCACATTTATCACTTATCAAGCCTATAGGAACATTTGTGCTTGCATTCACATTTGGATTCCTTCCTACCATGCTATCCGCTGAGGGAAAGCCTGTCACTCTGCTCTGCAAAGCCTACAAAGTAGTTTCTCCTCCTCTAAGATGCATCATTTCAGAGATTTTGAATAAGGAAAAAAAAATTGTCAAACTGAAGTAACAAAACCGACATTAAAATATATTCTATTGTAAGAAGAGAATTTAAGATGCCCTTATGCGTTATTTGGAAATAGTTCGTACTCAGTACACCACTTGAAATCTAGAAAGCTTTTTCAGAGCTAAGCTACTTATACTAACAGGAGAACTGGTGGTGCAAGCCATGATTGAAATCTGGTTTTAGTTTAAGAGATAGAATTTATAAGAGACTAGCTTGGCAAAATGTGACAATTACAAAGTCAAATCACCTAGCATTATTATTAAGCCATTATTTTTAGCTCGATGGTTCTCTAGCATCCTTTCATAAATTCAGGTGCTTTTCTCCAGCCTTAACATTCTGACCCATTTGCTACAGCTGCTGTAATTTTGAAAGTTCCCCAAATGGCTCACCAACACCTCTAGCCACTGCTTGTAAGGACACCGACTGACTTCCCTCTCCAGCAACCCCCACCTATTTTGGAAACTGAGTCTCTTACATTTATTACCCACCCTTCTACAAACATGATTACTCCATATCACACCACACTTGTTCCATATTTGATGTATGAGCCAACAAACGCTATTCCTCTGCGTCTTCTGTGTCAATGACCTGTCTTTCCAGACCACAGAAGCTTGGAGCCCTAAAGACCACACCCTGGGGATCACCACTAAAGAAAGACTGTTTGCCACTCAACCACACCCAACAAACTTTCTCTCTTTTATTACTTCCATTGCACTTGAACTATGGAATGTTCGGTTTTTACCTGTATCTTCAAGCTCTCGGAGGCTCCTTCTAGCCTGCTAGCTCCCTTCCTGCCTGGCCAGATTCCACTCTACCAGCTTTTGTTTGCAAAATGCAAGTCTAAGCAATCACCCACTACACTTGCAAATCTACATTCCGGGTGACTGAGCTCTGAAAGGCAAAATGCTGAGCAACCAGGTTTGGCACCATTCACAATCCCGATGGCTCTCTGTGATAACTAGCAACCTGTCCACAGGCCCACTGACCTCCCTCTGCCCGGTGTTCCCAACCTTGACTACAGGCCTTAAAGTCTCTTGTTGTCCCACCACCTTTGTTTTTGTTCTTCATAGTAAAATGGGGCTTATCAGATGAGGGGATGTGCTTCACCCACCTAAGCATCATCTTCACTCAGGCCTGCAGCTAAGGGACAAGGATCTCTGCTCTTGTCCCCTGTAAGGCTATAATGCCTTCCCATATCCTAAGGCCAAGACAAAAGAGGCCTTCAGAGATGCAGTAGTATTTATTTGTTCTGTCTAAATTACCCCCAAGTCCCCCACCTTAGCTGTTGTCATTGCTGTTCAGAATAATATGCTATTCATTACCCGACTTGTTATCATGCTGGTACACTCCTCTTTTATTAAGTGTCTTAGCAACTAACCAAGCAGCAGCCCTCATATCTGATTTCACCCTCCCAGCCTATCAGCCTATCAAGTATTGTACATGTGCCTGTTTGCCCCCCTTCTACGGAAGGTAAGTATGCAGGAGAGCAGCAGCTTTGCCTAGGACATGCTCTACCCTAGCTCTACCCTAGCATCTGATGTCTGTCGATGACTATCCCTACTTCTTGACCATCTGAAGTTAAGTCAGCAGTATGAACTCAATCAAAGTCAACCTCTTCCCCGGGAGTCTGAACTTGGGCTGGTCTCACTGAGTGAATGGACACTGAATCTCATTTCACCCCAGAGTCCAAAGCCAGTTTCCTCTTTGGTATCTATGAAATACTCCAGTAACCTTATAACCGGTTATTCCTTTATTTTTTAAGATTTACTTATGTATTTTATACATATGGGTGTTATCTCTGCATGTATATCTGCACAAAAGGGCACTAGATCCCATGGGACTACAGTTATAAAGGGTTATGAATCAGCATGTGGATTCTTGGACTTGAACTCAGGACTTCTGGGAAAGCAGCCAGTTTTCTTAAGCACAGAACCGTCCCTCTAGCACAGCGGTTCTCAACCTGCAGGTCATGACCCCTTTGGAGGTCACATATCAGCCTGTATATAAGATGAACACATCACAATTCATAACAGTAATAGTCACAAAGTAGCAGCAAAATAATTTTATGGCTGGGGGTCACCACAACATGAGGAATTTTATTAAAGGGCCGAAGCACTAGAAAAGCTGAGAACTACTGCTCTAACACGTAACCAGTCACTTTTTAACTTAAACTAATTTTTCTGATATTTATTACTGAGAGATTCCTTAATACTACACTATATTATACTAGTTCCAAATAAACATCAAAGAGCCAAAGTTTTGTTGTTGTTGTTGTTTTTAACTAGGGGATGAGGTTAAAACATGGAGAAACATGAGAAATAGCTCAGAGGGAAAGGTCTATTTCCACAAAGCCTGGTGACCTGCATTTAATTCTTGGAACCCAAATTGTACAATGAGAGAACCAACTCCTGTTAGTTGTTCTCTGAAACACACACACACCAAATAAATGCAAAAAGGTTTAGGTTTTCTTATGATGATACTGTGTTTATCATTTGACGTGTGTGTGTGTGTGTGTGTGTGTGTGTGTGTGTGTGTGTGTGTGGCCAGTAGATAGCTTACATTAATGAAATGTGTGTTACCAAAAGGTCCTGTCTTTTCAATCTGCAGACTCTTCACTTTACCACACTTAGGGCTATTTCCATGGTGGCTGAAGGCATTTTTAAGCAAAATCTGATACCAATTTCATTTTGTGACCATTTCCCTTAAACATCAATTACGGGACAGCTAAAGAATCTGCCTAAGCTACAACAGCTCAGGACAGACTCGGGCTACAGGACAAGCTGCAAGCGTCTGGTCCTAGACTGTGGAAGTGGACAGCTCTGTCTCAGGGCCAGCATCATGGCAGCACATGGCACGCTACTTACCAAATAAGCGCTGATGGAACAAGAACTTGCCAGCGATCAGTCCTATGAGAATGGCCAGTAGCCATAGAAGCACCTTCAGAATCCTCCAGCCAAGTCCTCTAGGGTATTTATTTGTTACAAATGAAAAACAGTTCCCAACAACAATAACATTGGCTTCTGTTTGACTGTGAGAAACTGGGTCCTCTGCGAATATCAAGAAATTGAAGAAGATGACCAGGTAAGCCACGATCATGCGAGACCAAGGATGCTGGAAATAGTAGCGGAAGTCTTTACCCATCCTTCAAGCCTTCGATGCTGCTTGACCTGTGTGAGGAAAGAGACAGAGGGTTAAAGCCAGAAGACAAGCCGTTTCTCTGCTGTCCAGACCCATTCAGACCTTTAACAGCCCCACAAGAAGACAGGAGGGAAACACCACAGCTGTTCCCGCCCAGGGCACCAGGACAAGCCTCAGGCTGACGCACGTTAGCTCTGTCCTCACATCATCCTACCATCATTTTTTTTCTTTTTTTTTTTTTTTTGCAACAGGGTTTCTCTGTGTCCAGGGTTTCCATGGAACTCACTTTGTAGACCAGGCTGGCCTCAGAGACCACCTGTCCCTGCCTCCGGAGTGCTGGGATTAAAAACGAGATCTGCCACTTCCCAGTTTATTCTTATCTCCTATCATTTGAGGGCTGCTGGGCAGACAATAAAAGAGAAGAAAGGAAGGGACACTCTCCAAACGGAGGTGATGGCCAGAAATGGTGGCACACACCTGTAAACACAGTACTTGGGAGGCAAAAGCAGGAGTTTTAGGAGTTCAAGATCAGCTTCAGTGGGGAACAGAGCACAAAATCTTCATGATGCTTTCAGACATTTACCTTATGGTAATCCTGCAAAGCCATTTAAAAGTTTAAGTAATGCAGAAGTAAACTGACCGCATATTACCAAACACCCCGCCTAAGTCCCTTTCTGCACAGTGGTGATGATGTCATTTGATGGATATGGAATTTGCTTCCAAATCTATTTCTAGATATTGTCAAATGGGCATATGGGCAGAAAATTCCCTTTAAAAGAATCCTTTACAGTCTGGTTAAATAATTTCAAGAAAGAGTTAATATACCCAAGTCTATACTAAGTATTTTCCTGGGAGAAAGCAGAGTGGTCTGGACCACTCTGCTTCTTGGGGGGGGGGGGTGATGAGCATAGGGAAAGATTTCACAGAGAATAACATGTCCTAGTCCAAGTTCTAGGGTGATGAGAAGAATGTTATCCCCGGTGGAAATGGCAAAGGCGCTCCTTCTAGGCAGCAGCAGTCATTTGCAAAGACACAAAGGGCACTGCAAAATCATGTCTGTCCCACAGCGATGGTGTGGACCTGAGCACACCCTTCTTAACATTCCAATGCCAGACCCTCAGTCCTGCTCAGGTCCCCCTTCTCAAGAGCTGCCCACAAATCCCCTACACTGTAGCTCCCGTGGGGTCTGAGTCTTGTGAGAGGAGCCTTCGTTTTTTTGTCAGCTGACTTGGCTCTTAGACTCAGGTACACCTGTTTCTTCAGCAATGATAACTGTTTATATATTAAATAATAGATATTAAATAATAGATTTAATAAATATATTAAATAATAGTGTGGGATATAATTTTACTTCCAGCCACCAGTTCATTTTGCCTGTTTCACAGTTTTTTGTTGTTTTTTTTTTAAATAGTCCAAGAAGATTAAAGAAGGAAAGCAAGGCCCTGCAAAGTCCACACAGCTGTGTGCTGGAAGTCTGCACGCATCATTAGTATGCCTGTTTTGGGTCATAACAACGCTGGGAATGCTGGGATTACCATTCCTACCTCTTCATTTTACAGGCAGGGAATTTAGACTCTCAGAGTTTGTGAGTAGCCATGAGAGAGAGAGAGAGAGAGAGAGAGCGCTGTGCTCTGAGTCTCTGGGGTCTGACCCCAGGGCATGACAGCCAGCCCCTAGAGTAACCAGGTCAACTTCAGGCATTTTCCTTTCTTCGCCAGGAGGAGCAAGGGCCTTGCAAACTTCCTAGATGTACCTTGTCTCTAAGAGGCAATGGCAGAAATTTTGTAATATATCCTAGTATTCCTCAAGGAGGAAAAGTATGTAAATGAGGAGTCCTTCACAGATCCTGAACACTTGGAGAAGGCAGGAGGTAGGGGAAGGTCATTGACAAAGGTTTTCATCTACACCTCACTGAAAGAATGACACATAAGCTAGAAGTGAGTGATTCAAAGCCAATGGAAGATCTGAGAACAGGTGCCAAGGCCTCAAAACTCCATCCAATACTCCTGGCTCATAAATGTCAAGTAAAGCCATAATATAAGTTGATGAAGATTTGGTACAGCTGTTATAAACAGGTGACGTTAACACACATGTAGACTGGCCACAGAATTCACCCAAACCGATAGATGGTTCCTGCATCTTCGATTCCCAAGCTTGCTAAACAATATCAAGCCTCAGAAGATTTTCCTGAGTGCTCAGTCATACCTGTTCACAGGGCCTGTGGCTCAGACTTGCACATGAGCTCCAGACTAAAGTAGGTGTGGTCCTCATACCAAAGAGCAAAGCAAAGGACATGGAACAAACAGGAGTAAAACGAACGTCCGTGACAGTCAACACTGAATGAGCCCGCTGTTAACACAAGTTTCACGCAGAGTCCCTGGAGATATCAAAAAACCACCACCATTGAGAAATTCCCAAAAAGTCATCCCAAAGACTGCGGATCTTAACGGACTCTCCCATATGCCTAGCAACACAGACGCACAGACACAGGTGTCCTGTCAATCTCTCTTCTAGGTGACTAGTGCTCCCTTCTTGCTGGTGATGACTGACGTGGTTGCCAACACCAACTCCTCTCCCTGCAGGAGCACAGACCAGGGAGTTGGGTGGGGCCCAAGAAGCCAGAGAGTGAGTAAGCACAGGCCCTTGACTCCTTTTTTAAAAAAAAAAAAAAATGAAATACTCTTGATTTGCTTTGCCGTGGGGTTTTTGTTTTTAATATAATGTCCCACATGCCCAAGTTAAAAGAGCGCATTCAAAAACTCTTGGAGACAGCTGCTGCTACCCAGCACTTACCCTATTTTGGGAGGCAGAACTATGGCGCTGAAGAGGAACCCTACACCAGCGCACGATCTCCGTTAATCCTGAGCAATGCTATGAACATTCCTGTCACTATCATGTTACAAACAAGGACATGAAAACTCTAAGCATCTTCGACTCATTCCCTCTCAGACCCAACAACAACAACAACAAAAGTCAGAATTTTAATGCCCAGGCCTTGCTAGGCCTTTGTCATCTACCAGGGCTGGAGGCTGGTCCTATAACTATTTCTGTCATGCTTCTAATTTGCTCATTATCGCCTCCAACCATTCGGTGACTTCCATCACGGCAGAATAAAGCAGTACTCTGATACTGATCATTTGATCATTCCATGAGAAACGTTAATATAGATTATTGTTTTCTTATACCAGAAGTTAAAGTCCTTAAGCACTCATGAGGTTACTTTGGGTATGTTTGCTCATCCCTTTTCTGTGACTTTAGACACAAAGATGTCAGAAGTTTCTCTCGTCCTTGTGGCCCCGCTTTCTAGTTTTTGGTATGATTTAGGGTGCCAAAACTATGTCCACCTTTACAGTTCGTATTAATTAAACCTCTTCATGAACCACCGGTTTATTTGTTGACCCTGCAGTTAAGAATCTAGGACTGAGGCTTCCAATGAACTATGCTACGAGGCAAAGGATTTGCAAGCATTTTGGTTTTGTTTGTTTGATTGTTTTTAACTCCAGTCTCACAGCTGTGTGTGGGAATGCCTTTATTTTCACTCTCAGACGTCCCTAGTGAAATCATCTGCATCCATGTCTCTCTTCTTCGCTTGATCCTCCCCGGAGAGATCATCAGGAGCTATTTCCTCCCAGGGCAAGGCCCAGTGCCGAGCTAATCAACAGATGCCTACTGCATAAACTTGTGGAACCCTCAGAAACAGAAGAACTCTCCTTGTCTGAGAAGGCTCAAAAGACAGAGCCATATGACAGGAAACATCTGCTAAAGAAAGGAGAGAAGGCAGGCGACCAGCCCTAAGCCTACAATGACGGCACCACTCACGGTCCACACCGTCAGCACCGACTCCCATTTTCATCACCATCACAAAGGGCTAACACTCACTGGGTACTCACTGGACACCAGACTCTATACTGATGAGCTTCGAAGTCATCTCTAGTGAACTGTAAGAAAAACATTCTGATTTTCCCATTTCACAAACACTGACGCTATCCCTTGGTGTCAGCAAGACCACAGTGTCTGCTGTTCCAAACAGTCCACAGGAAGGCAAAGGTGGGGAGGAAGCAGGGGAGCTGATGAGGAAGACAAATGCCTGGGGAGAGACAGGTAGAGGTCTAGGCAGTTCACAAAGCTCTGCTCCTAGACACATAGAAAGAATCCGTGAGATTTACCGGTGGACGGGATGTAAGGAGGGATGGTCTAGGCAAAAATCTAGAATGAAACTGACATTTTCCGAGCTGGAAAAACATATTTCCTGAGGTAAACAGAACTTCAAGGGATATAGAAAATACAGTTATTATCGACATTTTTGTTGTTGTTGTTGTTGTTGTTGTTAGTGATTTATATGCCTGGGGCTTTCGGAAAGCGCTTTTCACGTATTATTTCAATTAGTCCTTACATTAACCATTGGGAAGGACATGGAGAATAAGTGAGGCAGACTCTGCCCAAGGTCATGCTGATGCCAACTGGAACAACTGAGCACACCTGCCTCCACGTAGCCCAGAGCACAAACCCCAACCAACATTATGTGCCCATCTATGAAGGAAAGAGGTACTCGGGGAAGCCCTCAACCTACTCACCACCCAACATTTCTGAGGGTGAACGGACGAATACTGACAAGACAGAGGGGCAGCAGGCCAGTATTGCAGGGAGAAAAAGAAGATTCCTTTCCAGAGAGAGCTGTCAGTACTGGAGCATCCAACTCCATAAAAGTAGAGATGGAAGAAAAGTGAATAAATCAAAGCCACATCTACTTCCTGGGTCAGACCTAGGGAAGGATGAACTTGGACCTTTATCTCAAATTCACAGATAAGCAGACAAGTGTCAGAAGGGCTGCGAGTGGAGGTCACCCCTGGCTATCAAGGTTCTGGCTTCCACCCCTTTCACCTCAGAATAAAACAAGCAAAAGATGGGTATAGGAGTAGCTGAGCGTTTTTGTGCAACAAAGCGCTCATGAAAGGTTTTATGACATAAGCACCAGTCACAGAAGTACACTTGAGACTCTTGCTTCCAGTCCAGCCCAGATACCACACAGCCTTCTAAATAAAACACAACCTTCTAAAGCAATCAATGCAACCACCTAAGTGGCTTTCTGCATAGGGATGGGGATGCTATCTGTGGTACCCAGCTAATTTACAGGATCACATCCATAAATCACATCCTTCCTCTTCACATTGTATCAAAGTTTAGTAATTTTCCTCCCGTGTTTTTATCCTGAGGTCCTTGGGACATCAGTCAAAGCAAGTTTTTAACCCAGAAGCCAAAAGTGAAGTTGGTTTGGAGGTCCTCCAGGAAGACGGCTTGTCGGTGAAATGGCAAACTGGGGATAAGTCCTATGGAGTTGTGAAGTGAAGAGCACCGTGAGACCCTTCAAAAGTACACAGGCTGCCCTTCGGTTGCTTGTCACAGCCATCCTCCAAGACAACAATATTCAATGGATTAAAGCTCATCCCTGCCCAGAGTTCTCTTTAAAATGACTGGCAGCTAAAAGGAAATTAAACAAGACTGATGGGTACCGGGTTTTGATCACAGTGGGAGGAGTGGTGAGCATCTGAGTCAAAGACTCCAACTGCTCTGAAACTACACAAAGATTGAGGAAATAAGAAGATACTATATCCATCATTTAAAAAAAAATCAACACGATAGAAATGGTTCTTACATAGATTTTTACCACTATATTCTGTAAATTAGAACTTACTTGAGAAAACAAACCATAAAAGCTTCCTAGACTCGGGTGGGGGCACCTCATAGTTTACATACTTCAACTCACTTTTTTCTTTATGGCCACGCACTAACATCAAGGTAAGCATCACACACACACACACACACACACACACACACACACACACACCGATGTTCCACAGAGCATAGAATGAATCACAGCAGCCAAGATGTTCTCTCACGGGTCAAACACGCTCGCCGGCCTGTGTTATTGTTTTCAAAATAGAAATTGAAAATTAGTTTTTAATTCAGTCGCGATGGAGTTCGCGAACACACAGGCCTCCCCGTTTCCTTCCTGAAAGGACACCTGGGAAGTGCAACCTGTTCCTTTAGGCAGCAGCCAGGGGGCTTGGGTCCCCGCGCCCCGGGATCGGTGGAGCGGGAAAGTTCCAGGGATCTGCCCGCGGCCCCTCCCCTGGATCCCGGCTGGCTGGGTCCCCGCCCGGCCGGCTCCCGCGTCCCGGGCCCGCGGGGCTGCGGGGCTCCGGCCTGCCCGCGCGGCCGGGGCTGCGGGCAGAGGGCTGCGGGCCACGTACTCACCGGAGAGCGCGCGGTCGGCCACCGTGGCGGCGGACGCAGGACGAGCGGCGACACGGGCCGCGGCGCGCTGCTGTCACCCGGCTATAAATACCGCGGCCCACGCCGCCGCCTACGCCGGGCGCCCTCGCCGCTCCCGCCGCGCCGCAGACTCGGCCCCGGACCGCGCCGGGCACATGCCGCCCCGCCCGCCGCGCCTCTGCGGAGCCGGACCGGACCGGGCCGGGGAGGGCAGGGCAGGGCAGGCACCGGTGATGCCGCGGCCTAGGGAGTCCGCCGCCGGGCCTCGGCCTGCGGGAACCGCATCGGCCGCGCCCTGCGGGGAACCTGCGCGGCGGCAGGCAGCGAGGACCGCTAACTTTGTAACGCGCCCGGGTCACACGGCATCCCTGAAGCTGTGTCCTGATGTGGAAGCGTGGGGGTTGGGAGAGGAGCCCACAGGAGTGGGCAGCGGGAGTCTCACACCTCCGCCTTCGGAGATTCCCTCCCTCCCTCCCTCTCTCTCTCTATATATATATGTATTTTGTATATATTATATATAATTATATACATTATATGTGTATTTCCTGTGTGTATACATATTAGTGTATGTGTGCATACATGTGTCTATGTGTGTATAAGTACACGTGCATACATAGATATGTGTGTGTTTACACACACATGTATATATACATAGATGTGTGTATATATGTGTACACATATATAGACAGGTACGTGATGTATCTGTACATATGCATTTGTAGTTATCTGTACATAAAGGCTGTGTGTCCATGACTACATACACGCTTATAAGCACGCATACGAACACACACTAACACGTACATCGCACAGATGCGTAAGCACACACACACTCATGCACACATGCACACAGATGCACATAAGCACATCTCCAACCCTTGTCGTCTGGCGATTACATAGTTCTCTGCAGCGCGTGTGTGTGTGTCGGGAGGAGCCTTTGCCTTGGCCCGAGGAACCCCTCTCTTTCCATTATGTATGCGTGCCATTACTCCACCCCTAACTGCTACCTCAGCTGGTTGCTTTAATGTGTTAAACGTTACTATATCCAGCGTGCTGCTCGCTAGCGACTGCATACTGACGGCCCATGCTGCTGGAAATGACCACATTTTACACTGTGAAATGGAAGAGGAGATAATTCTTATGTGCCAACAGTGGCAAATTTAGGAAGGCAAGGGCAGCCCTTTTCCTGGCTGGACTGGGGATACAGAAGTGAGTTTTAATGAGAAGAGTCAGCTGAGATGTCAGCAGAGTTTGAAATGGAGTGCAGAGCCAGACCTATGGGCAGCAGCTTCATCCCTCCTGCTCCATCCCTCCTGCTCCATCCCTCCTGCTGGCTTCAAGTCTTTGCAGTTGACACTGTGGCCCATAGTTTATTTTCTGAAGACTGTGTCTTATTAGCCCGTCTCTTTCATGGTGCTGCTGCAAATTTCCTTGAGTGTGTCCTTTGCCAGCATCCTGTGCATCTTACCATAATGTTTCTTTTCCACTTTTTTTTCTATTTATTTTAACTGGCCCCCAACACAGGCACCATGCTTTGAACTGCTTAAGAGTGGAGTCAGAATCTTACCATTGCCCCCCTCAACAGGTAATGAATTCCAGTGAGTTGGGGATTAATTCTACAGATGAATCATTAGATTCTATTGTGCTTTTATTATAATTAGGATTTTTTCCCAAAAAACAATTATTAAACAGTGTAGTTGTTAGTGCACAGGCAGCCTGCTTCTGGGTTGCCTAGTAACCTGTGATGTCATCATGTTTCGCCTACCAGCTGTGTGGCAGATACAGTTGAGCTGCTGCATGCACAAGCTATAAAAGGACCAACCTGCCACTTTGTCTCTCTCTTACCTTGCTCTCTTGCTCTTCTCCCTTGCTCTCTCACCCCACTTTGTTTCTTGGGGACCCCTCACCCCTCTCTTTCCTTTTCCTCTCTCTCTCCACCTCCATCCAATAAATCTCTCCCATATACTATCTGTTGTGTGACACCATTTTTAAATAAATACCAACCGCTGTTCCGTGTGCATTCTGTAATATTGCGTTTTCCTGGATCTCCACTTCAAACACTGTTCAGTAAGTCGAAACTTGAAAATTCGGCTTTGTCTGGCCTCCTTTACCCTACTTTTAGACAGTTCCTTATTTAGTAATAACACGAGGAATAAGCTCAGAAAACATTTCCTGTGCTTTCGGTATGTCTGGGGTTCTATTCTCCATCCAGCCTGTGTCAAGGAGCAGGCCTGAAACATCCTCCCTCCCGGAAGCTTATGGGCTTTGCCTGGGCAGCCACCGAGATGCTCCGGGCCAGCCTTAACGAGGACCTGGTCGGACAGCATTTCTGCTTGGGTCTCAGGGGGTGACTTCTAGAGATAAAAGGCCAGCTTAGTGTGTGCCAGTCGCTGGAAGCACGGGACAGCACGTGCAAAACAGCGCCTCTGTGTTTGCCCTTCGTGAACAGAGCCAGGCAGTTCACTCCACGTCTCAGAATAGCAAGACGAAAGGAGCAAGCAGCAGAAAGCTGGCAAGGTGGCTTACTGAGTCCACACCTCAGCCTCCCCTACATGCTCTCCATCTATTCCGGAACATGTGGGTTTCACAGTAAGAAGCCCTGGAAGGCGGAATGTTGATAGGAATCCTGATGCTGCTACTTGCTAGCAGTAGCCTGAGGCAAATTACTTCAGCGGGAATCCCTTGCTGTTTTCTTTCTTCACCACTGAAATGCTGACATGCTGAGACCGGACACAGATTTAACAGCCTATTTAAGAACAAATCCTACTGAGAACTTAGACCGGTGCCCTCCCTGTTTACTCTGATTCCATCCCAGTCCTCACCATATAATCGTGTACATGACCTGGTGTGCTTCAAACACCTTTAGCTTTAAGTATACAATAGGTGGTTGGTGAATGCCCGTCCTCCTTCCTGTCAAGCTTACTATTTTATGAAGGCAAACCTATTGATTCGGTGTAAGTGGTGACTGTTAAAGAGGAAAGGGCTGAAGAGACCACTCGGACAGTAAGGGCTAAGGCTCACAGCCAAGGAGACCACAGACTGGCCCCTTCCAGCAGAGTTGGCCGTCAATGGGTTGCAAAGGTGAAGTTTACAAGAGAATTCAACATGGCAGGGCTTCTGATTTCCCATCCCACCAACCAAATTCCAGTCTAAACAGCACTGCGCACTTTAAATATGGGTTTAGTAAGTTGGCCACAGTTGAAGACAGAGTCAGGGTAAGGATAGACACTGTTTAATCAGCACGGTGGAAAAGCTTGATTGAAAACTGAAAAGACTGAGAGATGCCCGGAAGAAAAGACTTCTGGGTAAGTTTGTGAGGATTCCAGACACATTGGCACATGGGACAGTTACAAAGGGGAAAGACCTTCCCTGAATGTGGGTGATGTTATCCAACGCCCCTACTGGGCAGGTCCTGGTAAAAATGAAGAAGGAGGAAGCCAGCCTGTGCATACAAGCCCCACTCTTCCAGAACAGGAGCCTCTGTTGGTGCTGCCATTACCCATGGACATCAGCCTCCAGCTCCATCTGCTCTGCCTCCCACACAAACTTTCCAGGTCTTTAGCCTCGTACTAGGGCTACATCATTTGTCCTGAGGCTTCAGACTACCAGGTTCTCTGACTGTCCAATATGCAGATGGTCATTGTTGGACTTCCTAGCCATCAATCATGTCAGCCAGTCTCATAACACACACCTTTAAAATTGTGTGTATGTGTGTGAATGTGCATGTGTGTGAGTGCATGTGTGAGTGTGTGTGAGACCTATCCACAGACAGACTCAAGGAGAAGGGGAGTCATGCTTGCCTTCAACTGTACAGCCATTGATGACTCCACCAGACCCCAATAGCTAGTTCCAACTCAGGAGTCACACAAATGTCCCCGGACAAACTAAATGGATCACAAAACAACAAAAGTCCTGGGCCTGGGGAAGTGACTGGTGGCCAACGAGAGAGACTGAAAGGGGCAAGACGATAAGAGAGGAGAGAAGAGTGACCAGAATGCATATACACACTGCGGAACCGTCAAATGATAAAATTAACAAGAAATACGTCTTAAGGTAAAATTCCTATGTAAAAATCCCATTTTGAGGTTTAAAAATCAGAAATGAGTGCATGATCCATGTTTCACCATTTACCTTTTATGTCCTCATAACTGAAGAATACAACTTACTGGTGATTTGCTTGCTTTAAGAAAAAGGAAGTCTCAATACTTTTTTTTTTCAGTCACTGGTAGAAGTTTTGACTGTAACCAGATTGTGTGCTAAGTGGCCCCCATGCCAGTTTGAATGAAAATGGTCCCCAAGGGCTCATAGGGAGTGGCACTATTAGAAGGTGTGGCCTTATTGGAGGAAGTGGGTCACTGAGAACAGGTGCTGAGGTTTCAGAAGCTCAAGCCAGGCCCAAAGGCTCACATTCTCTTTCTGCTGCCTGCAGATCCAGATGTATGTAGAACGCTCAGCTCCATCTCCAGCACCGTCTCTGCACCGTCCTGTCCTGCCAAAGATGGTTTACCTCCGATCTCTCAGCCAGCCCCAGTGAAACATTTTCCTTCATAAGAGTTGCTGTAGTCATGGTGTCTCTTCGTAGCAATGGAAACCCTAACTAAGACAGTGCCCTTTTAAATCAAGGGGAAACTATGGTTGTAAGCATCTGTATACTCTGTCCACAGAGCCAATCAAGGACACTTGCACCTGTGACTATGGATTCCAATTAAAACTATCTTTAACTTCCAATAGGTCAATCTGGGAAATGGTAATTATATACTCTGAATATAAATTGCTTAAATACTTTATTGCTAAATAGGCAAGAATAGAAATTTGAACATGATTTATATTCTGGTTAGTTTGTGTTTTTTGTTTGTTTTTGTCGAGATGAAACAGCTGGAGTCATCTGGGGAGAGGAACCTCAGCTGAGAAAATACCTCTGTCAGACTGGCCTGCAGGAAAGTCTGTGTGGCATTTTCTTGATTGGGGTATACAGGACTCAAGGGTGCCATCCCTGGGTGGGGGGTGCTGGAGTGTATGAGAAAGCAGGCTGAGCAAACCCCGAGAGCAAGCCAGTAAGCAGCAGCACTCGATGGCCTCTGCTTCAGCTCCTGCCTCCAGATTTCTGCTTTAACTT